ACTGGTTATTCCATCTGTTTGAATTTATGTTAGTGTACGACTTTGTAAAACTACATTTTACCTGTGCATGTATATAGCTGTGTTTAATATTTAAAAAAAAAAACGGCCGATAACGACAAACGTAATCGACTCGCGAAATGTTAAGTTAATTTGTTCGCATTATTACGAGTGGTTTTTTTTTTTTTAGTTTATTGTAAAACTATACTTTATATATATATTGTTTAGATAAAAGTTGATGAGGAATAAAGTAAGTAACACTGGTTGATTTTCTACTTGGCGTCGAGCCGTTTAATAAGAGAAATGAAAACAAGAATTTTAGCTCAAGAAAAACTATAGTCGAACAAAAAAATAACATTAATACTTTTTAGAAATCGTCGACAGAATAATAAAAGTTAACCGAATTTGCGGTGGCGTTTTGGTTGGTTCGGTAGACGGTGTATCCAATGTGATAGGTGTCACGAAGATGACTGACTAAATACATATTATTGCAGCGGGGTATTCGACGCTAGGCATTTGTTGAACTTTACACCACGACGATAACGCGTGTGTGTAACGGTCCGGTTTACAGTGAAGCGGAGGCTGAGAAGGAGCTGATACGACCGCGGGGTGTCAAACATGTGACAACGCCGTGGCCGTGTCAATATATATATATATATTGAGCGTATTATTGCATTACACGTTAACTAGCACGTAGTGATCCTAGAATGAATAAACTCGATGCAGCCTGTCGTGAACATGATATTTCGTAAGTAAGAACAAATGATTTATCGGAACGTCATTTGGCTGATTACGAATTGGAAAAACGCGCATGGGACCACGTAAAAGCGAACAATAGTTCATTCGTTGAAAAAGCTGTTGCATATGCTGTAAAAAATATCATAAAAGCTAAAAGAAATATTAGAATGGGTTTTGGTGGAGCACTCCGAGTTCTACGTAAAACTATGTGTAATTCAAAAGATGTTAACAGTGTGGCAAACTTAGCATTAGCAGCAGCTTGTGTTGCCGAAAAGTGATAACAAAAATTTAAAACACCTCGCACTATCAAAGTACCTAAATTTGGTGGTGTGTTACTACTCATTCCTATTGTTTCTAGACTTTCAGCTGTAGGATCGTTGGATGGTGGAGTATCAAGTATTGTAAGAGCTGCTCACGAAATCAGAAAAAAACGCTGATTCGAATAATCCAGCGAAAATGGGTAATTCATTATACTTGCATCCATATGTTGGGAAGAAGAAGGGTGAAGGATTCTATTTGAAACATCAAAAAAATTAACATCAATACTACCCAAACGACGTGCACTTAGCGATTTAGATATTATAAAATATGCTGAGTAATTCGGAATCAGTCACTTTCGCGGCATCTTTGCAGGAGATTAGTTGCCTATCAAACCCAAAATATACGAAAGTGCAGTTGTTAATTTGGATATTGATAGTGGAAAAGGAACGCATTGGGTAGAGTATTTCAAAAAAAGCAAGAACGTGGTGTATTTTGATTCTTTCGGAAATTTAACACCTCCGCTGGAACTTGAAAAATATATCACCAGATTTTGCGAGAAAATATAATAATAATAATCAGAAACAAAAATATAACACAAATGTTTGCGGTCAGCTGTGTTTAAAGTTTTTAAAATCACAATATTCAAATCGCTGACTCTACGCTACATGAAATAACGTCGGAAGTCACATAAAGTTTTTTTCCACCAATAGAATTCACTGGAGCACCAGACGTTGCGCTGTTAGGATTTTACAGATGTAAATCAATACCAAATATTGACAAGTCACTTTGATAAATACAAATAACGAGATTCTTAAAAATAACATAGAAATTAAAGTGCCTCGAGGCACTTATGAACTTAAAGACATTAGTAAATATCTAAAAGAACGTTTTCAGTCGTATTAAGTCTCATTCATGATGAAGGATAATAAAAACACTTTAAAATCTTAAATTAAAATGTAGTAGACAGATAGATTTCAACGTTAAATTTAGTATAGGCGGTATTTTAGGCTTTCATCAAAAGATACTTGATGCAAACAAAATACATATATCGGATCAAGTTGCTAACATAAATAATTTAACTAGTATAAAAATAAATTGTAATGCTGCCTATGGTGCATTTGACAACAGAATTTGAAGTCATGCGGTTCACGAGTTTAATCCAGGAGTGGTAGCTGGTTATCGCATTGTTGAAAATCCTAAAAATTTGATTCACTATCCATTAATATCCAATCAACTATACTCTATAACTGTTAAAATAACAGATAAAGACGATAAAGCAATTAATTTTAGAGGTGTACCTGTTACCATACGTCTACACATACGTGATGGCTCTTCGATTCAATAAAACCAAGAGTAATATTAAAATCCAATCATTAACAACGACTAGTTGAAGAGACACGACATAAAAACCTTGACATTCTTTCTGCTTTGGGATATACAATTAACAATAGACGATATTTTAGAAGTAATGGAAACATTGCACAATGAAGACCGCATAGTGAAATTGGATTATTTTTCCTATCAACCGTTTTCGGTTAGCGCAAAATCGAATAATGATGAGATACGAATATGTATTCAACAGCAAGATGTTTACACACTTCGATCTGATTCCTACCTCTTGATAGTTGGAGAACTCTTGGGAGTTCCTGCCGGCTCAGATGTACAATTGGTAACAATTGTCTAGCTCATTGCTTCATTGAAATAAGATATTTATTGAACTCAATAGAAATAGATAGATCGCGAATGCCTGGGATAATGTCTACAATAAAAGGATACGTCACGTTTTCACTGAATGATCATACACTCTTTGAAAATGCTGGTTGGAGTGTTGTTATTATTAGGATTTGCCGAGGATCATAAAAAAGTCATCGTTAATTTTCGTCAAGACTTAATTTTGCAACGGAGTGATACAGATTTAAACTGTATTTACTCGACAAATGAAAATTTATCAAGTTGTAAAATTATTTTGAACAAAGTTATATGGATAGTTCGACATGTAAGTGTGTCGGATGCCATGCGGTTAGACATGCTCAAAATCCTGGAAACCTCAACACCGCTTTAAATAGCATTTCGAAGTTGGGATCTATATGAAAATCGCGGCTACCAAATAGTAAAAGACAAGTCTGGACAGTGAAAACTTCATCGCAGACTGAGAGCCTGAGATTTTTTATTGTAGCTTTTCCAGTGGATAGAAAAAACAAAATAAACAAAGATAGTAGTAGATTTGACCATTGTTCGTTATCATCTCTAAAAATATAATTGAACTCGGAATTGTACACTTACGATAACTTGCGAATGGACTTACCGAATGATAAGTATGCTGTACCATATCACATGTATTCCCAATTCCAAGAGGCATTCTATGAAAAGGAGTTGGCGTGTCATATGCTGACAAAAACAGAATTCAAGACAATTGCTCAATGCATTGACTAAACGACAAAATGAAAAATAAAAAAACGCATCAGTAGATATTAGATTAGAATTTGAATCTGATGAAAATTTTCCGACCAACAGTACAGCATATTGCTTAATTGTACACGACAAAATATTTGAATATAATCCAATGACTAATGAAGTTTATGAAATATATAATTTGTTTTTTTCTAAAAATGATTTAAAAACTTTTTATATGAAATACTAATGATAAGTTAAATGTATAATTTTACTATTAAAAAAATGTGTTAATTATTTTAGTACTTTATCCTTATTATATTTCATTTATTTAGTACATAAATCAAAAGCAGATAGTTTAAATAATAAAATAGTATGTAATAGTTAAATGCATACGACAATGATCGTTACTGTATGGTGGTACCTTTGATGGTATGGTGGTGATGTTGGAAATATGCTTACCTAAGCGTTTGATAGTCGACGATAAAATTCTTAGAAAACGTTGTTAGTTTATGTTAGGTTTCATTCTCACCTCTCCCATTTCATTCGGTTAGTTTACATTGGATTTAATACTCCCCGAACACGCCTCCTCAAAACTTGAAAAATACATATAAAAAGTGGAACTATTCAACTCAAGTTATGAAAATGTTCTGAAAATACTGCATCCTTTAAAAATATGATAAAATAAAGCTTATGTTACATACTATAAATTAAAAAAAAATTTGTCCCGACGACCAATCTTATATATGCAAATATCTTCCGTAATTGAACAAAAAATGTAAATTTCTTGTAAAAATCATCTTCTATTGTTACGTAATTTTTTGGTACTTAAAGCTGCCATAAAACTACTTAAAAAAATAACGAACCAAAATAACTTTTTTTATATAAACACCTTACGTATTTCCCTTTTATTTGACATACAGTTTTTGAAAATTTGACACTTTACTTGCCCATTCAAAATAGCAATATTTTTACTAAATGTTAACGTTTACTTTTGAAATTAATCACCAATTACTTAAAATGAGCACAGATTTTCATCAAAGCGATTCTTATGATAGTGATTTTAATCGCCGTTAGATATCTATATTTTTTTTTCATTTAACTTAATTAGCTTTAAATTAAAAATTGCATTTTGTAGCATGGATTTGAATTAATTATCAAACATTTATTTTGAAAATACAAGTTAAGTATTGTGAAAGTAGTTATTTGTTTCTATTGAATGTTTAGACATTTTTATCTTTTTTTTTTTATTATTTTGCTTTAGAAATTTAAAACATTTCTTTATATGTATTTACTACATTTTATTTCATGTTTTTATATTTAAAAATATACTAACTATGATAAATTTTCTTAAAAATAATAAATTTCTCCTAAAAAAAATAGTCAAATTCTAACTTTAAAACGTTTATGGCACAGGTTATTCTTATTCAATTAGTTTAATATGAGTTAATTGCACAGTTAAAATTTTAGAGGGAATATTTTTTCCTAGTAAATTATCATTTTAAAGGATATATATATATATATAAAATTTCACATTTTCAAAAGTAATGGGAATCCTATTCTATACATTAAGTAAATAGCTTAAGAAATCTTAATTCAAGAAATAAATTTACTTTCACATCTGCTGGGATTCTTTTCATGTCTAATTTTTCAGACCACAGTATCCAAGTACCGTTATTTTTTTTATCATATATATAGTCATATACTATGCCATTATCAGGAAAGAGATGATTCTTCGTAAGCTTATATGATGCTGGTTTTTGATATTGTTCTACATTTCCCAGAGTTAATTTTCGAAAAAAAAGGTCAAATTTCTTTTGACTATCATTTTTAATTGTAGCACCTATGCTCCAAATAATACAGAATATTGTCGTACACATCAACCATGTAGAAGCAACACCAACTCCAGCTTCTTCTTTTATTAGTGAATTTAATAATCTTGTGAAGGACTATAATAATACCACGTAACTTAATACTTAGTTTATTTATAACATAGATAATACCTTACATTAAACATATGATTTTCAGAAGTAAATAAGAATAGGTTGCAATTTCTATAAATAAATTCAAAAACTGCCGGAACAATCCATTTTATCATTTCATCTAGCATGATTTGTTGATCAGGTAACAATTTTGAAGAAAGTAGTTGTTTATATGAATCCCAAAAGGCAAGCCAACCTAATGATTTTGGTTCAAAATAAATCATTCCACAACGAGATACAGTAGCTGGAGAAGCTTGTTCCAAATTAGCAAGTTCAAATGTCATTGTCATTTTACTGCTCATCTATATAGAAAATATCATATCCCACAATAATTGCAATAAAGTAATTATAAACTTTTTTAAAATCAAATAATGTATATTAAGTCATTAAGTACTATTGTAATCTTCTAGTTTAACTACTCTTCTTCTTCTTCCTCGCTTTAATCCCAACTACTTGAGGTCGACCACCCTATCCTAATGTTCAACTTGACACGATCTCCCACATCATCTACGCTCACATCAGCTGTCCTTAAATCGCATTCAATAGCATCTCTCCATCTCTTGTTTGGTCTTCTTAATACTGGCTCCACTTATTCTCTAATCAATTACCTTTTCCCAAATTTTCATACTATGTCTCTAACACGGCCGCCGGGAATTGAAAGTGTACCGGAAATCATGTGAAAAAAAGAGGCATGATACGGGATTAGAACCCGCGACCCAAAGCGTCGTATAGACAAACCTTACCACTAGGCCACCGTGCACTTATGATTCAGATCCCGATACACTTTTATTTAGGTTGATAAGGTGATGTGCGGCTGAGGGAAACACAGTACCGTGTCAACTCATAAGCTTTATGCCACTATAATTTCCAAACTCCTGTATTTCTCCTTTACTTTTAAATTTTGACACCACAATTCACACTACTATTTCTCCATTCATTTGGAATTTTCTCTTCTATTAAGATTTTATTTAAAAGTTCCTTATGCCAACGCCGCCTAATATTTTCCTTACTTCTACTGGCATTTCATCTGGTCCCCCTGCTTAATTTTTTTTCATTGATGTCACAGCGTCCGATACCTCTTTCTCACTAATTAAATCTACCGGTCCATCATTTCACGAGATATCCTCTAATATCTCTTTTGGGTACTCCTCATTCAATAATTTTTCAAAATACTCTTTCCACCTTTTTTTCACATCATCAACACTCGAGAGTACCTTATTATCAACACTTTTTATACACTTTATATAATTATTATTTTTAAGCCTTTTTTCTCTTATCTTTGCAAGTCTATAGATTTCTTTCTCGCCTTCCTTAGTTCTTAGCCTATCATAAAACTCATCATACTTCTTAAACTTCGTCTTTTTTACTGCACACTTGACTTCTTTACGCAAGAGTTTATACTCCATCCAGTCTTCTCTCCTTTTGCTCTTCTGCCATACTTTGAATTGCTTTTTCTTACTTTTTGTGATTTTTTGAACATCCTCATCCCACCACCAGGTTTCCTTGTTTCCTGGCATTTTACTCCTACTCTCATCAACAATCTCCTTTGCAGTATTCTTTACACAACTAGCAAATCTATTCTACACATTATTTATGTGTCCTTCGACATTCCACACTGTCCTCTCTTTTACCATCTTGACAAATCCTTTTTCATTTTTCCCTTTCAATTTCCATCAACGGATTTTCGATTTTCTTCCCGTTTTTTTTCTGTCTTTGTATATTCTTTTACCAGTACACCATAACTACATTACCATCAGTCTATGTTGTGCAGTTACACTCTCGCCTGGTATAACTTTACAATCTGTTACTCGCTTTACGCTCTCTCTCTTCTACATCAAATAATCGATCTGTGATCTATTCCACCTACTCTTATATGTTATATAATGCTCTTCCCTCATTCTAAAACAAGTATTAACCACAGCAAGATCATATGATACTGCAAATTTTTTTCATTCTTTCTACTAAAACCATACCCTCCATGTACTCTTTCATATCCTCTCCTCTCATTACCTACATGTCCAATCATATCTCCACCTATCACCGCATCGTCATTGACAGGTATCCCATGCATCACCTCGTCCAATTCTCTCCAAAACACTTCCTTGTCTATTTCATCACATCCCACTTGTGGTACATAGGCACTGAATACATTCAGCACTTTTTCTTCTAACATCAATTTTACGACCATAATTCTGTCACTTTTCCTGGCTACTTGTACTAGTTTAACTACTGGTTTATCTATTTTAAATAACTCATATCAAATTTAATAGATTAAAACTTTGTTAATAAATCATAAATCATAACAATTTCAATTATTAATTACAATAGTCTTTTTGACTTAGTTCATATTTAAAACCATTTTTAATGTTTGAATTTTCTTTTTCTTTTTAATAGTATAAACATAGTAAGAATATTGGACTCCAGTGTATATTGCAGCTAGATCGTGACTTTTATCACTAGCATTAAACGCTTTTAGCAATTTATTATAAAAAAAGACTAAAAAAAATTAATGTAAATTTTGACTTTGACTGCGAATTAGTCACTTTATTGAGTTTATTATGAAAATAAAAGGTATTTCGAATACCTTGCTACAAATAACTGGTATTTTACATTGAAATTACAACTTAAATTAATTATAAATAAATTAATGAATTTTAACAAAAAAATATTAACAAAGGTTAATTGAAGTTTACCATAAACGCTTTGTTTCAATTAATTTTACCTAACATATGACATTGAACATTTCAAAGTACTTTTGTTTAAAAAAATATTACTTGTATTATTTCTCCAGACATCAAACAAAGCTTTTTATTATCGTCTAAAACAGTGTTCATATTTTCTATCCAAACTGCATCTACAGGTCCATCAAATATTATCCATTTTCTATCATGTGTAGCTGTTTTAGCAAATTCTCGGAATACAATTGCCAAAATACCTAAATATAGTTATTTTTACAAAAATTTAGTTTAACTAAATTTTTATTTCTCAATTTTAGTTACCATCATGCCATTCGTGTGATAATAAATCAAATTGTCCATATAATTGACCCATTGTTATTGCCTTAGGGTTGATAATTTTATACAAAGTTTTAAATTCTTTCATTTTAAATTTCCGATTCAATTGTAAATCTCCTAGTGATTCAGCTAAAATCTGAAAAATAATAGTTATATAAATTATCTATTTAAGTATCAACTATTATTATTTTGATGCGATTCCAGGTATCGGACATGCGAAAGCACACCTGGCGCAACCCTTTATAAAACATTGTAAAGTCTATATAAAGTACTGTTAAGTTGACTATTTCCACTAACTCTAACTCATCCATCTCTCACTAAAACTCTTCCTTGTCTATTTCATCACATCTCACTTGTGGTGCATAGGCACTTATTACATTCAGCACTTTTTCTTCGAATTTTACGACCATAATTCTGTCACTTTTCCTAGCTACTTCTACTACTTTACTTTTCATCTCCTCGTCCATTATTATCCCTACACCATTCTCTGTACTAGACTTACTTGAGTATATTATTTTATAACCCTCACCTATTTCCCTTGATTTCTCTCCTTTCCGCTAAGTTTCCTGCACACAACAAATGTTAACTTTTCTCCTCTTCAATACTTCTACTAATTCTCTATTTCTACCAGTTAATGTTCCAACATTCCAAGTACCTATTCTTACATTGTATCTATCTTTCTTCCTTATACACAAGTCCAGCATAGAGTTAAATGGTGATGTCCCTACACCGTTGACACTACATGCGTTGGGTAGACCTGTACACATCACTCGTGAAACTGCTACGGCACAAATTATCCGGCTGGTATCAAACACTTTATTCCTTAGGCCTTCTGCGTTTTTAACTGCTTTCTGTTATCCCCGCGTACATCTAAAATGGGACAATTCGCCAAATTTTTGTTCAGGATTCCTCATACTTTTTTTTGACATAGATTATTACGCCGGCTGTCAACCTGACACAACCTCATCAGTCGCCTCTTACGACTGGCAGAGGGACCGTGGAAGTATTCTTATCCGCTATCCACAGGGAAAGATACATACATAGAAGATATGTATGATGGCACTTGTACCAGGGTAAAAAGCGTAGGAGGAATATCAGAAGGTGGTATCGACAAGGATGTAAGACACAAAATTAAGTGCGAGTGGTTGAAGTGGAGAGAAGGGCCTGGCATCTTTTGCGATAAAAGAATTCCAATGAGGCTGATAGGTAAATTCTACAAGACTGTAATAAGGCCAGCTATGATGTATGGTTCAGAGTGTTGAGCGGTTGATAAGAAAGTAAAGCAGATAATGAATGTAGCAGATATGAGAATGCTTAGAAGGATGAGTGAAGTGACTAGAAAAGATAGGATAAGGAACGAGCATTAAGGGGGAGTATAGGCGTAGCGTCAAATGTGGATAAGATAAGAGAAAATAGACTTAGATGGTTTAGTCATGTTATGAGAAGAGATTAATTGGAAGCCGCAAGAACAGTTATAGAAATAAATGTTGAAGAAATAAGAGGTAGAGGAAGTCCAAAAAGAGATGTAGGGATGCTATTGAATGCGATTTGAGGACAGCTGATGTGAGCATAGATGATATGGGAGATCGTGTCAAGTGGAAGTTTAGGATAAGGGTGTCCGACCCCAAGTAGTTGGTATTAAGGTGAGGAAGTAGAAGAAGGAGAGAAGTTTAATAAAATAAAGTATATTATAATATAAATATATATAATTTAAGTATACAATAATATAACATATCACCTGGTATGAACATGTTTTTCCTGAAAGTGGTTCACCAACGATCATCATTCCATGTCTTACTAATACCATTTCGTATACTTGAATAATTTTATCTAAATACCATTCTGTGCACTGCAAATGTTTTTTTTCTATATTTATTTTAATTCTTTCGATAAGTTCTTCTCTTTCGGGTACTAATAATTGAATCCCGGGAAACAAATCACTGTAAATACCAATAAACAAGGGGATATCCTAAAAAAATTAAATTAGTCAACTCAACAATGGATATTGTTATGGTTATAAGACTTTAACGACTAAAAATTATACTTCTAATAAAAATTTGGGCATGTTGACATCATAAATAGCCCTCAAAACTATTTGCGCTTCATTTTTATCTGGATATTTAAGTTTCAGATTTGAAATAGCTGTTAATACTGATATAACAGCTCTCATACCATAATCATAATGTGATTGAGATGACAGTTGTTCTGAACATAACTTATAAGTATCCACTATCTTTTCCGCCAAACTAGGAAAAATTACAAAATGTTTAAACAATATAACTTAATTTAAATATTTTCTATGAATACCTTCGCGCATCACTAAAACCCATTGAGTACAATTTAATTTCACCTATCATACAATAGTCGGGAACCATCATGGCAACAGTACGAAACAGAACTTTTAAATTATCAGGAAGCTCTTGCCGTCCTGCATATCTATATTATTAAATTAATAAATAAAAAAAATTGGTTTTAAGAATGTTTGCTTAAAAGATAAATATTAAATAATATATCTCAATGATAGTTTGGTTTACATAAGCATCTTTATTTGCACACATTCATATATAAATAAATTTTTTTTTTTTAAATTACAATTTTTTAGTTTTTAAATGTTGAATAAAGTTAAAATTGTAATGATTGAAATAATTTATTTTATCCATGTTTTTATTTAGTGATGTTATTAAATTGTTATCATATAAATAAATTAGTTTGTCTTTTATAATTTAATTGTCTATTTAGCTGTTGTCTATCAAATTTATCCTATATACAGTCCACTAGTAAATATACAAATAGTTTAGTTATTTTACCAGAGTCAAAATCTTGATTTTACTTTGTAATATTAATATCTCATGAATAATTGTTCATAATTTGATAATTATAGTTTGATTTCAATAAGAAATTAAAATGTAGAAAGTTCACATCAACTTAATAAATGTATAATAGTTGGTTGGAATTTCATAAATACTAAATTAAAAACTAGGGGGTCTATCGGTTAATGTGGTACGCCTATACCCCAGTTTACTCTGTTATAGTTTAAAAACTTTTTTTATAACTGCGTAATTTAGACATATGATTCTAAAATTGAGTAGAATTTTTTCAATTTTTAAAACTACTAGAATAAACTAGATTCAATTCGAGTTCTTTTGGCGTATAGATTATTAAAATTAATGTAGAGAAATTATTCTGAATATTATATATAGACACAAAAAAACACATTTTGGTAAAATATTTATTTTACTATCTAAAATTTTTTTCCTTATATTTTATATAAAAACAAATTAATTTCTCCCCGAAAATACATCTTAAACAGTTTGCAGTTTCAAACATGTCAAAAATAAATAATTTTTTCTGTTGATATGGCTCACGAATTGTTGGAAAAATAAAAATAGATTTTTAAAGTTCTTAGGACGTACTTTCAAACGATATACAGAGTGTTTAGTAAATAAAGAAACAGATCAATTATTACTAAAAATTAAAACAATAGAAATCATTTTCCTTACTTATTGTACAAGGCGATTTTTTATATCATAATCCACCCAATGCTTCATAGAAAAAATTAATTTAAACATTTTTTCTTTCGTTGGTTACAATTAGTTACACATTATTCTTGAATTATTAGATATGTAATACTTTTTAAGTTCATCCCTTATGCATTGTAAGGGTATCAACTTTGGTTTTTCAAATGGGTACACATAATTTAAACTTATTAAAATGTTTGTTTTTATTGTAATAATAAATGTCATTTGAATTTTTAATATAACTTTATTCATTTATTAGATATTATACTTTAAATTTTCATATTTTTGAGTTGATATACATATGATACATTTCTTTTTTAATATGATCAGAAAATCAAAAATACAGATAGCTAATTGTTTTTTTGACGTCGATGTTCATAGCATGCAGCATCAATTACAAATTATAGTAAAGTACATTGTTGTGAGTTTTTAAATACACCAACTGGCAATACAAAAAGCATATCCATTCAGTCATAATTGACAATAAACACTCCGTGAATATGATAGCGACATCATAAAAAACAATTAGCGAACTGTATTTGTAATAATTTATGTATTATACAAGTATATTAATTCAAAATTTTTATATCTAATATACAAATAAAATTTTATTAAAAACAGATCATTTATTAAACTCAAAATATGTGTTTTCTCATTTGAAAAAACAATGTTGACACTTTTTAAGCATAAGGGATGAGTTNTATGTGTTTTCTCATTTGAAAAAACAATGTTGACACTTTTTAAGCATAAGGCATGAGTTTAAAAAGTATTTCATAGTTAATAATTTAAGAATAATGTGTAACTAAAGATAACCAAAAGAAAAAAAATATTTAAATTATTTTTATTCTTTAAGTAATTGAGTGTTTTATGATAAAAAAAATCACTCTATATACATTATATAATTAAATATATTTTTTTTCAAATCATATATTATTTTACTTTCTTTTGCAATTTTCTTAAAAGTTTCTCAATTTTGAAAAAAGGAAAATTGATTTTTTGCCATGCGATTATTTTTGTTGTTTTGACAGTTCAAAAGAGGATTCGAACATTTTTTTATTTTATGAAAGTTCATTTAAACAAAACCCAGCACAGTGGGGTCGCGGCATAGTGGGGATGTTGCATAGTTGGGTCCAGTACAGATTTAATCTGACAGTGATTAAAATCACTATCATAAGAAACGCTTCGATGCAAATCAGTAGATAGTGTTTAATTCTAAGAAATTGGTGGATAATTACAAAAGCTACATTATCTGCTAGTTTCTTATTAATACCCTGATTAAGATAAAGTATGTCGAATGAAAAAGGGATTATTAAAAAATATTATTTCTCATAAAAAAATTGTGTTGATTCGTACACTTTTCAATGAGTTATAGCATTATAAAGTTAAAAATGTAACCAACCCAACCCAACATCAACTCCTATTTCCTTAATTATATCCAGATTAGTAATTATTTTAATTATATATTATATAATTTTTATAATTAATTATTTTCAAATTATTATTGATTTTTAATATGTTAAAAGTAATCATTTTGAACCTACTTCTTTTTGTTCTTTAAAGTGAAAGTTTTAATAAAAAAAAAATGAATTTATTACCATAACTTTTAACTCAACTTGCAAGTTTGAAATAAATATTATTAAATAGAAAAAAAT